AAAAAAAAGGTTTTGATCACTTTGCATAGAAATGATAACGACAAATGGATCTTATAAACATCATAAACGACGGCAAAAATAGCTCCGGAAGACTAACTTCTACCAATCAACATCAGAGCCAATAGTGCCGCGACGAATTGGCAGTCAAAGTCTCAAAAATTAATTTCAAATGTCACACAGAGTGAAGTACAATTTGTACTCAGCAAATGTTTTTGATCGGAAGGGGAACTGAAGGTTAATAATGAATATCAACGCAGAGGAAATGAATGCCTCCTGACGAGCGCAACAATGCCTAACAGTATGTAACTAATAACAACGATCACTTCGCATAAAAATAATGATGACAAAACGTTAAAAAATATTTCTGCCGAGAACTTCGACCAATCAACGTCAAAGCCAACTATATCTTGACGAATAGACAGCCGACGTCCCATAGATGAATTTCAAATAACGCTCTAGATTTGGTATAATTCGTAACCAGAAAACGTTTTTGATCAGAAGAGAAACAGAAGGTCGATAAAGAAGTCGACGCTGCAGAAATGAACGACACACGTACTTCCGGAAACCAAGGTAAACCGCTACCTTTGGAGGCAAAGATCGCTTTAGCGACGTGGTTGGGTGTCGCAGGGTTAGTGACAATGGTTGGAAATGGAATTGTCCTGTGGTTGATTTTCAGAAAAAGATCTCTAAGAAAAATGTCCAACCTGTTCCTGACCTCGTTAGCTGCTGCAGACTTTTTAGTGGGACTTGTTATAGACCCAGTCTGGATAGTCATACGATTTTTGGGTTATCACTCTAATAAAACCTAAATTGAAACCTTCGGTAGGAGTATAGATTATCTATGGATCCACACTACTGTAGCAACAACATTTAAGTTATACTGTGTTAGCCTGGACAGGTACGTAGCCATCATTCATCCTCTGCGCTACCACGATTTTCTCACCAACAGAAGATGTTATTTACTGATAGCTAATGCATGGTTTATGTCCCTTGTCTTACCCTGCTCAAGGTTCATGGTTCAGGATATAACAGCTTTAGCAACATTGTATCTATCTTTTACAGTTATGACAATATTATTTCCTATGTCTATAATCGTGTTCTGTTCTCTTCGAATTTAAAAAGCTGCTTTAGTACATTACAATAGCATAAACCCGACGAGCAGCTGTGAGCAGAATCAAGACGTTATTAGAAGAACTAAAAAGAACTACAAAGTTGCTAAAACAGTTAGTATCATAATGGTGCTATTTGTGGTTTCCTGGTTGCCAAGTCTCATTACTGGTTTTGTACATTACTTCAATACCAAAGGGTCTCATAACGCAAACTACTACACCGTGTGGACATTTGTTGAAACAACAGCGTTTACTTCATCTGCAATCAACCCATGGGTGTATTGTTTGGGAAACGATGAGTTCTATGAAGCATTATCACACACATTTCGATTTCTTAAAAGACGGTGATTTGGAGAAATGTTTCGTCTTCGGTTCAGAGACCGTAAAAACGGGGAGCTGGCTGTGTAAATTCATAACGCACAACTGATATTTCGTAAAACAAAAAGTAGCTTGGTTAGTTGGTAACTGTTCCCCCTAAAGATTAGCCTAAATTGATTTTAAAGTTTGTGAAAACAGCTGGACGGTTAC